CCACTCATGCTCTGTCACTCTCTCTCTCTCAAAAATAAATAAAAAACTTTTTAAAAAATTAAATTTTAAAATGTATATGACAAATAAATTGAACATTAATTTTAAAATAATTAGTTTAAAAGATTCATTTCAAACAAGAAAATAAAGGGGGCACCTGGGTGGCTCAATAAGTTAAGTGTCAACTCTTGATTTGGGCTCAGGTCATGATCTCTGGTTCATGAGATGGAACCTGGCGTCAGGCTCGCACAGAGCCTACCTGGGATTCTCTCTCTCCCTCTCTACCTGTGCACTCATGTGCTCTCCCTCTCTCTCTCTCTCTCAAAAACAAACAAACTTTAAAAACAAAAACAAAAAAACCTACAAAACAATGACAAATGTATTTTCTATATATAAATTCTATCTGCAGAAACTCTAAAATATTCACAGCAAGCACAATCACTGGCCTAACTGAGCAGTGAAGGGTTTGCTATTACCGATCCTTCAGCAGTAATAATCTCCATTTCCTGAGCACTTACTATAAGCCAGGAACTGTTCTGAGGACTCTTCATGTAACCCATTTGATTCTCGTGCAACCCTACAAAATTTTGTTGTTCTCATTTTATAGACAGAGACTAAGACCCAGAGAAGTTAAATGATTTGTCTAGAGTCACACAGCTAGGATACGGGAGAGTTGGGATTTGAACCCATGCAATTGTGCAGCATAAACAGACTTTTAAGATAGGGAGTCAGGCTTACTCTCTCTGTATTTGCAATACTCTATACTTATACACTGGGGCCAAGATGAATATCAGAAATATTTTATTTAAAGATACTGAGTTATTCAGAATAGTCACAGCATTGACATGGGCATTGATTTTATATTTTTTTCTTCCTTCAAAGTTTCTATATAATAGTTTTAAATTATACTATTCTTAAATTTTTTCACAAACATAGAAGTACAACATAGAAGAACGTGTAATAGAAAGTTAACCTGTCTCCCTAGAGTCAATAATTACTAACAGTTCACTATGCATTCTTTCAGACTTTCTACCTATGCACAAATACCCCATTCTTAAATACTCAGTGTCTATGTGTATATTGCCTGTGACCTTTTAATTCATAAATCTTGGAGATATGTGTTTATAAAGAAGATAGCTCTATTTCTCTTTTTTATTTTTTCGAGTGAGAGAGAGCACACGAGTGGGGGAGAGGGGCATAGGGAGAGAGAGAGAGAGAGAGAGAGAGAGAGAGAGAGAGTATCTTAAGCAGGCTCCACGCTCAGCATGGAACCCAACATGGGGCTTGATCCCACAACCCTGGGATCATGACCTGAGCCAAAATCAAGAGTCAGACGCTCAACTGACTGAGCCACCTAGACACCCCAATAGCTCTATTTAATTTTTCTCTTAATTAATTTAACATTCCCTTTATATTAAATAAATAACTTTATTTAAACAGACTTCTGGGAGCCATTTAATTGTTTCCAATTTTTCACTATTAAAAACAATGCTTAAGGGTGCCCATCTGGCTCAGTTGGACTCTTGATCCTGGGGGTTGAAAGTTCAAGTTCCCCACTGAGTGTAGCGAATACTTAAAAAGAAATAAAATCTTTAAAAAATAATTACAAATGACCATACTTGTATATTTTTGTGCATGAATACTTCTATAAGAGATGCCTAGCTGCAAAATTGCTGATGAAAAACACATTCTCATTTTTTTTAATTTTTTAAGTTTTATTTATTTTGAGAGAGAGAAAGAACACATGACTAGAGAAGGGGCAGATCAAGAGGGAGAGAGAGAGAGAGAAAGAGAGAGAGAATCCAAGCAGGCTCCACACTGATAGCGTAGAGCCTGATGTGGGGCTTGAACTCACAAACCGTGAGATCATGAGCTGAGCTGAAACCAATAGTCAGATGCTTAACTGACTGGGCCACCCAGGTGCCCTGAGACATTCTCATTTTTAATTTTAATAAGTATTTACCAAATTTCCTTCCAATGGGTTATATTAATTTTCATTGCAGCTTTAAGAATTTAAAATAGTCTTCTATCTCGTGAGAAACATCCCAATTTGAAACAGTTACCAGGCATTCATAAAAGGAGTATAACTCACATAGTATTCCAAAACTTAATAGGAGCATGATTCCTAATTCAGCCAGCGTCTGGAACAGTATTTGCCGTAACAGGGGTTCGATGAATGCTGCTGAACTCAGGAATGAGCCCTGGGTAAGCCTTTCTTAAACTCCCCTACAAAATTAGATTCCAGAGTCTCTGTTGCCATCTGCCGGCAATACCCCACTGACAAAACCTCCCGTGACATGATTTCCGAGAAGGCCGTCTTCTACAGTTAAGTACTTCCTCACTCTGTAGGAAGCATTAATGATTTCATCATTCGTGATTACTAAACATATTTTTTAAAAATCACACAGAACTCACGTTACTTCTAAATTTTTTCAGCTTCTTGAGACAATTAGCTGGCAGCGCGAGTACCAAAAATAGCCAGCCTACATTTTTTTTTTTTTTTTGAAGACTTATATAGGTGGAGTCTCCTCTATTGACAGACTTTTTCTCCCACAGGAAGCAAAACATATAAAACTTATCTTTTTTCTACTATTTCCCCTCTCATAATCTTCCCCACTTAAAAAAATGTTAAATGAATCATGGAAATGATTAGTTATTTGCACCCACAATGTACCGGATATTGCTGGTGTCCCCCTCATATCTCCCTGGCATTTCTCATTTCTGAGT